TTGTCCTTTTAAATCATAGAACTGAGTGCCCAGTTTGGCTGCAAAACTCTCAAGAGGTTCTTGTTAATCCAGAAATAAGAGTAAGGAGGTCCATTTATCTCCTGATTCTTGCAGGATGCCATCTGGCAGAAAATTCAACCATTGGCTTAATTCCATGAACTAAAAGAGGTGGGATAATAGGAGTTCACTCCTGCACCCTCTCTTCTCCTCTTATCTAGGCATATTCAGGGCAGATGGACCATGAGGGGGATTTCAAAGCCCTAAAACTGGAAACTGTTGTTTTCAATCAGTTTTCTTTACATATTTCATTTTTCTTTTTCATTGCCTCAAGTGTTAGGAGCTGGAGAAAAAGGTCCTGGCTAGTAAGCAAGTCAGGGTATGTTGGTTCTTTTGGATTACTGGATATTTTTAGATATTGGAAGCTATTCTTGAGAGTTACAGGCCCTGGTTGCTGGGTGGATCAGTTTTCAGGTGGGGTGAGATCAGTCCAGCAGTGCAAAAGGCCACCCACAGATGGCAAACTACTGGCTGCCAAGGGAAGAGAGGGCACGGAAGCCTGTCCATGCTATACAGTTGGGTTAATCATGTTGCTTGACTTCAGCACGGTTACAGGAAGCATTGGTGAATTGCTGTTAGGATCATAAGGCACTTCAGGTTCCAGAGGACCTCAGGAGGTCACCTTGTCCTGCCTCTGGCTCTGGTAGCCTGGAACAGCATCCGGGGCTGCCCACAAACTACGCACTCAGCCTGTAACAGATAGAAATGATACGGTTGGTGAGTTACACTGGACTGAAAAGTAGTTCTGAAAACTCAGAAAAGGCATTTCCTAAGTCAGCTACCTACCTGTTTGAAAACTCACATTTTACCACTGCACTCATTTAGAGTAATATGAATTTACATAATCTTGTATTTCTCCCAGGATTTTTTCATGAACATCTATCTATAACTTCAAAAGCTGATAATCTCCAAGGCTGGGACAGCTATCAGTTATTCCTTTTCTTCCACATCTGTATGAAAAATGGTTATGTCAGTTTGAGATTGGTTGTTTTTCATATGCATTTAAGAAAAGAAAAAAAGCCTAGTTCAAAATGTAAATGTTTACTACAGAGTGTAATGTGATTTGATACATTCAAAACTTTGTGCATTTCATTGCAGCATGCCTGTAATTATATAAAAGTATATGTAGATATCTGTGTGTGTGTACAAGGAGTGAGTGATTGAACAAGAGGCCTTTATTGCAAGAACAAACAAATGAACCTAGCTTCACAAGTGACATTCATCCAGCTTGTTCCAGCTTCATCTGTCTTGTTTACCAGGCACTTTGTTCCTCTCTAGGGCTTTGCTTTGTCCACAGGGACAACCAACATATTGCAAGTAAGTGCTGCTGCGTCCTCTGCTCCCCTTTCTTTCCTGTCCACACATTACCTGTGGGAGAAGAGCAAAGAGTCGGTGCTGATTCAAACACTGTAAGTAAACAGCGAAGTTGTGCTGAGCACGAGTGGCCTGTTGCTAAGAGCTTTGAAAACTAGTTGCCTTCTTCCTAGGAAGGCTCCACAGTGCAAAGATTCCTGTCCCTTGTGTCCCTAGATATTACCGCTTTTGGTCCAGTACCATGTGTATAAGAGCCCGTGCACTAAGACAGCTTTTGACTCAGTTGCTCTTTTCTCCTGGTTGAAACTTCATTGCCAATCAGCAGTCCAACATGATGCTTTGCAGTTGGAGGAGCTAATTAAATCTAGTCCCATTAACTCTGCAATGACACACACAATACAATAGCGAGAGAGCAGTTCTGGTCTGGCACGGCAGCAGGGTACCTGGATGTAGATCCTAGATGGATTTAGCCCCTGTCTGTTTTTCTTGAACCAAAACAGACCAAGCAGAACCTGTCCATTGCCAGCCCCAGTCAGAACTGTGGCAGTAGTTCTGCCTTCCAGATACTGCCATAAAGCCCAGAGCAGAGCTTCTTTCCCCACAAGACAGCAGGTATAGACTGCGTCACACAGAGCTTCTGTAGCTGGAGGGGGAAGAGATCGAGGGAAGAAACACAGAGAGGAACATGCTGCTCACTCATGTTGGAGGACTGTGAGTTTGCTCCATCCTCCCAGAGAATGAGGGTTGTGTGCAAATTCAGCCAAGGCATCGCTCAAAGTGTGGATAGGCCTGGCGCAGGCCTGCTTCAAAAAGCCCTGCCTGACCCCATCGTGATTCTACAGAGTCTTCCACAAAAGTGGAGGAGCACAGGCAGTCAAAGCTGAGGAGCTCCATCTAGCCATGCTGTCTGGTTTCCAGATCTGGTCCCTTTGACCTAAGGATGGCCAAAGAGACGTTAAGTCAGATTTCCAGATCGGCAGCCAATTCATTCCAGGAGATGTTCCTTGGCCTCAGGTCCGCCCTGTCTAACAGTATAAGGACTGGAGGAAGATGGGCAGCATTAACCAGCGCTAACAGCTTCTGAAAATCCTATTGATTTCCTTTCCCTCTTGACATTTTTCTGAGCAAGGCAAAAGGGTCTGATATGCAAGTTGCACATCTTTCCTCCGAATCACTCAAGCCCAAATAATAACGATTATAGGAAACCATACCTGCAGCCAGAGTGAGGCGTCTGTGGACTGATATCCTGCCATGGAACAGCAGGAGAGGAGCTATAGGAAAGCTGGATGGATTACCACCGTTCCCCTTTGGCACTGGGGATTCAGACGTGAATGCAGAAGTGAGGGTGTGTTTCAAACACTCGGAGGGTGGCTCCGGGCCAGGACGCCAGCACAAGGAACCGATACGACAGCTCGCCTGTGAGAATTGCCTTGGGAAGAAGTTGTATTTGATGTGATACTTTTTCCCTTGCTCAGACCCAAGGACATTTTGTGCATGCATGCATCTTCCTGCACACTTACTTGTCCATCTGTGTTTTTTATTTCCAAAGTGCTGTACCTGCATGGTCACCTAACACGCGCTCTGTTCATTTTTGAGGGTGCCGCATAGGGTGCTGTACTTGAAATAGCCTGGTGATGTTATTGCAGTATAGTGTCTTTTTGCTCAGTCCCATTCCTGCAGGTTTTCTCGATTCTTTGGCCATTATTTTCATGACTGGTTTGCCTTTCCCCTCCTAGTCTTTGCAGCTTTATCCATCCTAAGCACAATTGCTTTCTTTCTCATTTTAGGCAAAGCATCAAACTGATGGATAATCAGGGGTGTTTATGTCTGCAAAACCTTGTGAGTTATGCTACAGGAAAAAGAAAAAGGCAGGAAAGGAAAAAGCAAGCACACAAAACTTTACTGTCACATTTTACCTATGGAAAAACTTCTGTAGTCTTTTTAACTAAAAAACAGAATTCTAGAAAAAAAAATCTATCAGGTGTAATGAGACAACTTTCACATATGTGACATATCTCCCCAGAGGTGAAGCTGGTGGCTGCAAGATTGTTTCAAAGAATTGTTTTCTGCATCTCTCTTGGTACCTTTTCCTCTGCTGATTGCTGAAGGAAAGAGCCCCCAGATCTGTTTACCAATGACTGAGCTCTGCATTTTTTTACTGCTCCCATTTCTAGGATGAAAACTGTTAGCGCCACCAGACCTTGAATCAACAACTTCCTGGGGAACAGACCAGGTAAATCTGTCTTCTGCTGAGGTTTTCTGTTCTGATGAGCTAGCAGAAACAGTATCTTGCCTCTTTCCTGCCTCACAAGAATTGCCTTCCTGAGGACTATTCCAGCTGCTTCTTCCTCTGGAGCATCAGGTATTTAGCCTGCGTACCTCTTACTCTGATTATTGCTAATTTATTGCTTTACCTGATCAGAGCTCCATAGGGTTCCCTTCAGAGACCAAGCTCTGTTTCACGAAGCTTCTGGGTCCTGTGCACCAGTGTGGTATTAACTCTGATATGCTGTGTCATATTGACTTTCCTGGGACGGGAGAGCTTCTAAGTGCACCTGGGCCATGACCTACCAAACCCTCAGGAGATGCTCCTGTTTGGCAGGTGGGCTGGCAAATATGTTGGGTCCTGGGGTTTGGCCATAGGTCAAGACTGGGGGGCAATTCTCAGCTCCAGGCATGACAGGTCCACATAGATGCCCTTTCTGGCTTTTGCAATGGGCAAGGAGATGTCCCAGGATACTCAGTGGGTCACCAGGGGGCTGGGAGGACCATAGGGGCAGGGGGTTATGAGAGCTGTGCTTTCTCCATGAGCCCAGAAGCTCCAGCGGAGCGGCACAGGGCTGAGCGAACAGCTGCTGTTCCCTCTCCCTCCAACATGTCCCTGTCTCTTTTTTAAACACAGGCAGGAGAGACATGGGGGCTGTTGGCTTCTAGCCTTGGCCCTCCTCCCCGCTGAAGGGAAGCGTTGCAGGGGAGGAGCGGACGGCTTTGAAGGAGGAATCGCGCCGCTGCTCCGCGGGCTGCCCAAGCGGAAGGAGAAGCCATCTCAGGAGGCTGGGGAGGATAAACCACCTTAACATGGGAACAGGAAGCCCTGGGCGCTGGCAGGCACCAATCAGGCCCGGCTGCGGGAGGGAGGGCCGTGCGGGCAGTGGTGACAGCCGAGGATGGCGGGTGCCCGCGGGGAGCAGGGAGACGCCAGGCCGGACCGGGACGCTGGGTGCTGCTAGGGGTCCAGGCACAGGGGGGCGGGAGGCTGGGGCGATGTGAGGGGACGGGGGTCCCCTCGAAGACGGTGGCAGATGGCTGAGGGCAGCCAGGCTGGCAGCGCCCTCCCGCCCGAGCCTCCGGATGGCCAGGACGCCGCCAGCATCCGAAACCTGGGTACCGGCCCCGGTGCCTCGGAGGGACACGCAGGTAACGTGAGCAGAGCCCCGGGCCACCGCACGCTCCCGTGCAGCCCGTGAAAACGGGACTCCCGCACTCGTTGCTGTCCATCGATCCAGGCACCTGCCCAGCCCTCCTCCACCACCTCCATCCCTGCACCTCACCTGGGCAGGTGAAACAGGGGAAGGTGCTGCCTGCTGGGGTCGGTGTACGAGGGGCTCCCTGGATGTGTCCAAGGAAGGATGTTCCGCCAGGTTGGTGGCACGAAAGAGCCACAGGGGATTTGCCAGGCAGAGCTGAGTGCCCTGGTGCGCACTTGCTTGGTTTCCCCGACTTGCAGTACTTTCAGTGCAAGAGGTTTGTTGCAGATAGTGTTTTAGAATTTAGAATTGCGCGTGGGGCAGCACGAGTTGCCTGCTGCTCTGGCCACCCCACTGCAATGTGTGCTCGTTGGTCTGCTCAAAGTGCTGATACGGACATAGAACCCCATGCAGAGGAAGGATTTACTTGCATTATTATACCCATGCCGGGGACCTCAGGCTGCAACCACATTTCTCCTTTTTTTTTTTTTTTTCCCCTGGATGTAGCTAGCACTGAACACACTTTGGAAATTTCAGAAAGATCCCTTGAGATGCCTTAGACTTTTCCAGAGTGTCTGGTATGTTTCCTAAGGAAAGATTTGGACCTGTGGGAGCATACTGTGTGTCCCAAGTGCACCCAGGAAATGCAGAGTTGTTGTGAAGTTCAGGCAGGGGGCATTTTCACTTCGATCCACAATCTGCTCTAGTCATGGTATAGAGGGGACATACCTGTTGATCTTGTCTTTGCTTGTGCTTAGCAGTGGGGGCATCAAGCAGCCCCGTTACCAGCACCTGCATACTGGACAGTAGGCCATTCCTTGCTCCATGCCTTTTCCCTTCTGTCAGTGTCTGTTGGATTCAGACATGGAGAAATATGAGCTGTAGCTACACTGATGTCTTCTCACAGGAAGGCAGAGTCTCCCTCATGCCATTTTTAGCTCTGTCTGGTGATCCTGGGAGTGGTGCCAAGGCGCTTCAGCACTCGCCTCCTCCAGCAGCCTGTTGCTCGGACTCAACCCAGCTCCCCCTCTCTTCAGCGCAGGTCGTAATCTCAAGGAGTGGCTGCGGGAGCAGTTTTGTGACCACCCCATCGAGCACTGTGAGGACACCCGGCTGCACGACGCGGCCTACGTGGGGGATTTACCCACGCTCAAGAGCCTGCTGCAAGAGGAGAGCTTCCAAAGGTGAGGGCCACGTCTCCCACCTGGTGCCAGCACCTCCTTCCTCCATTAGCACCTTCACACTGGCTCTGGAGGCCCTTACAGGACCAAAGGAGGAATCAGATGCAAGGTCTGACTGAACTCAGCTCTGAAAATTTTGGCTAATGACTCTTTCTTCCTCTGGGCTTCCTGCCCCAAACTGTCTCAGCCCCTTCTCCCTGTAGCCTGCTCCTTCCTGAAGCCCGTCCTGTTGGCAGAAATACCTTTCTCCACTTTTACAGGAAATGTGTTTGGTGGCAGATTGCTCTGCTTACCCCTGAAATTATGCTTGTTAGTCCTCCAGGAGGCAAATCTCAAGCTAGTCCTGTGAGGTTCATAAAATGGGCAGTGTCCACACGTAAATGCTCCTCAGATCATGCTGGAAATATAATACTGTGAAAAGAGGAGTCTACATATGATGGAAAAAACATATAAAAGGGATTACAAATCAAATATAAGCTTGAAACACCCTCCGTTACAAAATCTGGCTATAGCTAAGTCTGTGACCAGGGGGACAGTTAATTAATTTTCCTGCGCCATGGAGAAAACTGCTTAGAGTGCAAATATCTCTCTCAGCCTTAAAAAAAAAAAAAAAAAAAAAAATTCCTTTCAGCAGTAACGAGAATGAGCCAGCCTCTCCTTCGGTCACCAAGGTGGCTCTGTGGAGCCTCTTCAATCCCTCATCCTGAGATTTTTTCCAGTTTCTGTCCCATGATATGTGGGAACTACAACGCATCAGTGCCGGTTGGCCCTTCAAGGCTCCGAGTGAGCTGAAAAGGCATCCTTTGCTGCAGGGAAAAGGCCAAGTTAGGCAGTAGGAGAAGGTCTGGACAGGTAGGTTCATCAGAACAAGTGGAGAACTGACTTCTTTGAATTTGGGGGCAGGTATGGAGTGGAGATCTCCCAGCCTCCTAGGATAGTCATAAGACTGCACAATTGAGGACTTGATGTGAGGTTCATATTAGTCTTCTTCCTAAAGCCTAGTTGAAGAAAAAAAAAAGGAGGCTTTGTTTTCCTGAAAAATGGCCTTAAACATGGCATATAAAAGTTGCTTTGTCCTATTTAGATTACGTGGGCCTGCATGGAGGCCTCTAGAAGAGCAAATTGACCACTGTACTGGCAAAGGGGCACATTCTCCTGCCTACCTTGGCCTTAAAGAAATTCCCACCTCTATGCATGTTGTTGCTGAAATGGTACCTGCAGTGATTTGAAGAGAATTTGTGATCAAGGGCTGGACATTTATGAGAGTTTTAGGACTAACCTGAGATTTGGATGAACATGAGGATTAGCGCAGGTGATTTCAGAGGGGCATCTGAGCAGCCACAAACCAGAGCCATCTCCTCTGTAAACTGAGCAAGGTTCTTTCTGACAGTACTGGTGTCTACCAAGGATGCTAAAGACCTGTTTATGTTGTTCCAAGCAGCACGCCTACCCTCCTTCCTGGCAGGGCTTTAGGCAAGGATTTGCATTCATTTATCCTTATGGTGCCAGGCCAAGCGAGCACATTGCCAGTGGTGTGATATGGATGAACACCCGCACTTCCAGGCGTCCCTCCACTCCTCCTGCTCTTTCTGTTACTCTTCTGCTTTGGCATCATTATGTGCCTGTCAGAGCAGCTTGGAGTAAACCACTGAAAGCAGTGTTTTAGCCTCCAGCTCTGTCTGGCTCCATGCAGCACCTAGCTCAACGGTGCCAGTTTATTTGTAGAGTTCTTAGGAGGTTGAAGTACTTAAAACAGTGGGGAAAAGCTTCAAGGGGGACATTCAACCTTCCTCAGGATCTTTCTCCAGGGCTGGGGGAGGCAGGGTGGCCCAAGGTGGTGTGAGGCCCTCTCTGACCCGGTGCTTCTCTTGTGACATGCCAGCCGGATCAACGAGAAGTCGGTGTGGTGCTGCGGCTGGCTGCCCTGCACACCCCTCCGCATCGCTGCCACCGCCGGCCATGGCCCCTGCGTCGACTTCCTCCTCCAGAAAGGGGCTGAGATTGACCTGGTGGACGTGAAGGGACAGACTGCCCTCTACGTGGCTGTGGTCAACGGGCACCTCGAGTGCGCCAAGATCCTCCTGGAAGCCGGGGCTGACCCCAACGGCAGCCGGCACCACCGCAGCACCCCGGTCTACCATGCGGCACGTGTGGGCCGGGCAGATATACTTCAGGAGCTGATCAGGTGAGAGCCAAGCTGCAGATGGCCCTGGCTGGAGGGGATACGACTCTGCTTCTCTCTGTCTCTCCACCTCCCTCAGGCTCTTTCCCCCATGGGGCCTGTGGGACATATAGCATCCATTTCTTCCTCTACCTTACCCTTCTCTCCATGGTGTGTCCGGTAAGTCCACAGACCTGATGGAGCTGGCCAAAAATGCTACTGATGTGTGAAACCACCATGCCTCATTTCCTAGGAAAAAACGTTATTTCTGACCCCACCATCAGAGCCAAGCATTGCAAACCATCCACTCCTTTTCCTCTATGGCCCTGCTCCATCTCAATAGCCCATTGCTGGCTCTCTCTTTCATCTGACTCCAGACCCCTCTGTTCAGTCCCACCTGGCTGCGTTTACAAGCAAGGTGGATCCCTCAGCTGGTCAAAAGAAAAAAAAAAAAAAACAGAAAATCAGAAACAGATCTTTGCTGAGTTTGGCCTCCATGACCATTTTCTGTCCTTGGGAAGAGAGATGTCTATCACCAGGACCGCCTGTTTTTGGCTGCCTGGTATTTGCCCATCATTTGAACAGCATCTGGGCATCCCTTTCATTTTCTTCTCTTGCCAGAGACCTGAACCAAAGCTCCATGGAAGGAGATGGCATCTCTTGGTTGCAAAGTGATAGAGATCGTTTTAGGGAGCTGAAAAATAGCCTTTCCGGGTGGCCAGGGCTGGTACTGTCTCTGCTGCACTTGTTTGTATTCAGCACTAATTTTTGGGCATCCAAGCAGCCCTCCTTTTTGCACGATGCTGAGCCAAAGAGTAGTTCATCCTTGGGAACGCAGAGCCAGTCCCTGGAGGACCACTAGTTATGGATGTTTTATCCACGTAGGTGGACCAACAACTTGCCTAGCAATAAGAGACTGGGTTAATTCTGCAGTAGTGTCCAAAAATCATTTTCCTGGGCGACAGGGTTGACCAGCATGCAAATATTGCAGAGCATCTGATCCCTTATCCAGCCTCTAGCTGCA